CTTATCTAAGCAGAAGCAGCGAAGGTACTACTCTAACGTCTAGTTCTAGCGCTCCGTCTAGCCGTCCGTTTAGGGGTAGAAGGCTATAGAGAGCCTACGTTTNACCNNCGTAACGTAANANATGTCTAACTAAAATTNGCTAGTAAANACTNACCCTCTATTAGACACGATTCCTTTCGGGACTCCGAAACTATAGATAATAACCTCTAGGAAGAGGTTCGTAAGCGTTACGGCGTNNTAACGCTTAGTAGTCGGAATGTACTTCGTNATCTTTATGTACCTATCTACGATAACTAGTATTAAGTTAAAGACCTCGTTATAGTACTTACTTAGAGGAAGGTCCGTAATGAAGTCTATAGAGAGTTCTTCCTATAGGCCGGCTAGCGCGGGTAGCGCTGCTATAACGCTATAGGGTCGATAGCGTTTCGCCTTCGATCTCTAGCAGATTTCGTAAGTTTTAACATATCGCTTAACGTCGCTCGCTAGCTCTAGCTAGTCGAACGTTCGTCGAATTAAGGTAATAGTCTTTTCTCGTCTAAAGTAAGCTATAAGCGGGTCGTCGTAATATATACGTATTACCTACGTCTATAGCGCGTTATCCTAAGGAACGTATACGTAAGCACCCCGGTATAGGAGACCGTCTTTAGTTTCCTAGGGGGCGCCTTTCTGCTTACGTATAGGGTACGTCTCGCCTTCGTAGACGACGGGGTCCGCGGCCTATAAGGCGGTAATCGTAGCGAGCAGATTAGTATCCGGTTCCTCGTCGTACGCGGAGATAGACGATACGGAACGGATTAACGTAGTAACTAGTATAGTACCCTACGTAGGGTATACCTACGTTACGGTTACGTCCTATAAGCACTAGCTTAAGGGTATCCTAGCGTCGGCTAAGGGGATTAAAGCAAATAGTCGTCGAATAAACGGGTAGTCGTTACCTTCCTATCGACTTAGTTTATTCTTTAAGGTCGGGAGAAGGTTATCGAACGCTTACTCTATCTCTACGTAGTTAGGGCGTCGCGATAGCGCATCGGCCGGGTTACGCTTGCCTACTTAATAGGAGATGTCCTAGTCGAAAGCTTCTATCTAAACTGCCTAGCGTTTCTAGCGTTTGTTTAGGGAGGTGACCTTACGCTATCCTATAAGGTTAGCGTAGTCGGTAAGTACTTAGACCGCGTACGGAGCGCCCTCGAGGTAGTAGCGCTAGTGCTTAAAACATTCTACGATAGCTAATAGTTCTTAGTCGTACGTTTCGTAGCGAGTTTCGGCGTCTATTATCTTCCTCGACTAAAAGGCTATCGGGTGCTAGTCTTTTAAGTCATTAACGACTACTAGCTACGATAGGATTCCTACGATAGTAAAGCCTAAGGCGTCGGTTTCGAGCCGTAGGGGAGCCGTAGGGTCGTAGTATATAAGGATCGGAGCCGAGGTAAAAGCCTCTTTTAGTATATAGAACGCTTGCTTCG